TACTTTATTTTCCCCAATCTTGCACTAGCTTTTAGCCTATCTTGCATACTGATTTAAGCTTTGTGTATAACTGAAAAAAGTCTTGTAGTTGCATGCTTAAGATACCTCATTAAGGTCACTTTGGTGTTGGGGGTCGATCTCCTCCTCTTAGGCCTTATTTGGCCCTTTTTTGTGCTCTCTTTGTTGAGCTTTGACTACTATTGTGTTTTGGCACTGAAATCCAGTGGATTTTCATTAGTGATGAAGGGGTTTTGAGGTCTTGCATAGGGAAGGGACACCCCTCTCCCCTTGGTCTCTCATTTGCGCATGTTTTTGGCTCATAAGGGTAGCATATGTGCTTGATTGTTTTTGACCCCTTTTCAGAGGTTTTTGGATGTTGTTTGGTCATATGTTGCCTTTGTGTTTGGTCCCATCATCATAAGATATCTCCAAAGAATTTTTTATGAATGAAGACATGGCATTACTGGCACTTCGATATAAACAAATCAAATCCCAATAAAAGGTGATCGTCAAGGCATAATTTTGGACATGCACATGCCACAGTTATTTTGAATAATAAAACTATGAAAAATAAACATTTTTTACGAATAAAGATAATAAAGATAAATATATATAAAAAAAAAGGGCATCAAGAGGGTGCAACCCGTATAAAAAACTATGAAAAATAAACATGATACATCTTAATAGGCTAATGTAGAGTTCTAATACAGTACTTTACTTATCAAATAAAACTTGCTTTTTGAATGTTTGATGGCACTTGCACCCTAAGAAAAGAACAACCTAAAATTGATTACTTAGTGGCCTCATATCATGAATAGCTAGTAGGTTAGGGATCTAAAAGGCATATTAAATGTGCTAAGGGCGATGGATGGAGAAGGGCTAGTAAGTGGCCAGACTTTGAAGGTGATACGAATGTAGGATACCTTAAGAAAACTTGTAATAATGCTCCTACAATTAATGTTGTGGAGGGTTTAGGGCAAGAACTTACAAGGTTGAGGTTTTAGAGAGTAGAAGACAACGTCTAGGTTTTAGAGAGTAGAAGACAACGTCTAGGTTTTAGAGGGTTTAGGGCAAGAACTTACAAGGTTGGCTTGCTTTTCAATGGTGCAGGTCATAGGAATTTTAGCAAATAGGTGCTGAAAGGCTCTAGAGAGCAATAATTTTATGGGTTTTTGGAGTTAAATCAAAGGTTAAAGGGTAGTGTAGACACGCCCTTGAGGGCCTCATGCTACAGTTGGGACTCAAATGTCACGGTTCTTAATCTGATTTCACAATGTGCGATGTGAGATTGATAAATCACCAAAGAGTCCAAATCCGACAAATCGTTTTGAAAAACTGATTTTTAAGAAAGAAGTGCCAAACATGGACTGCTTTGCCAGATACAGAGTCGCCACCTAAATATTTATTTTGGGGGAATTTAGGAAACCCTGACTCGTTGCCTCGGCTCGGGAACTTGGGTACGATTGGGAAAGGTCATCTATGAGCACCCCCACTCGCCCGATCAAAGATCGGCCTGTACTAAGCATGATACCTTGTTTTTGAAAACACATGTGTTCTTATTCCGATGTATTAGCCTAGAATTACAATGTGATACGCACAGCATACAAGTATAGATTAGATCGCCTAAGTTGGAACAAAACATGAGAAAGCGGTTTGAAGGTGCTACTCGCAAGTAGGCTAAGACATATATTTGCCACCCTCAAGTGGGCTTAGAAAACATGATTTTGCCACAAATCAAGTGGGCTTAAAACTCGCATTTCAATGAATTGTTCCAATTCAAGTAATCTAACCTTCACCCACAGGCATTCAGACAGTTATATCACATAAGCAAATAGCCTCATGGCAAGCATGCTTTCATGTTAACACTCACATTCATGCAAGATGCTAAAGCATAAACACTCACAGTGTACTCCAAGCGAAAACAAGGAACTAGTTAGAAATCATGCATGATCCTAGTTCATGTTAAAATGGCTAATGCATCGCATGCAAAGTGCAACTAGAATAGGCTCGGCTAATCTAAAATGGCATATGAGATGCGACAATTCGACACACGTATTCGACTTGGAATTGAAATACAATGCAGTTAATATGATGCGCCGAGCCCGGTATATGCGATACAGATGAATGAATGCAAACGTGCTATCATAAGTATGCTAATCGAAACATGACCTAGAACTAACCATCGTAAGCGGTTAAGTAAAAGGGAGAAAGACGTGGGGTTGGAAAACATTCACACACGCACGCACATTTATTACAAAATTCGCCCTCTCGACGGAGGGTCTGAATAAATAATACAAACTGAATAATAAATCAACTATCCTAGCTAATTAATTATTACAAACTCTTAATTAATTAACAAATTAATTACAAAACAATCTAAGTATGAAACTAAAGAGGCCGCCGCAGCTCCGCCTCGGAATGATTGAATGATGAACATTCACACACGCACGCACACTTATTACAAAATTCGCCCTCTCGACGGAGGATCTGAATAAATAATACAAACTGAATAATAAATCAACTATCCTAGCTAATTAATTATTACAAACTCTTAATTAATTAACAAATTAATTACAAAACAATCTAAGTATGAAACTAAAGAGGCCGCCGCAGCTCCGCCTCGGAATG